CCAACAGGGGGCGGCGGACCGCATGGCCTTCGGCCCATTCCGCCACGGTGCCAGGGTTGTGGGTCAGAGTTCTCAGGGACGCTTCTCGGGGTCTCGTCGGAGCGCCTTCGGGGGCATCTCGGGGGCAGGTCCTGGGCCCCTGGGGGCCTCCTGGGGGCCTCCTGGGGGCCTCTTGGGGCCTCTTGGGGGCCTCTTGGGGGCCTCTTGGGGGGCCTCTTGGGGGCCTCCTTGGCGGCTCCTCGGGGCCGAGGGCTCGAAAGTCCGTTCGGGCCCCCTCGGAGCCAGCTTTGGGGCATCTTGGCTCGTCTTGGGTGCATCTGGGGCCGTCTTGGGGCCCCATGGGAGTGTCGGGAAACCGAAAAGGCGGGAACGTCAAGAACCATCAAAAACAGCGATGTTTGCCTTTGGGGGCCCTCTTGGGAGGCCTCTCGGAAGCCTCTTGGGGCGTCGTGGAGACCTCTTGGGCCGTCCAGGGCCATCTTGAGCGTCTTGGAGCGATCATTCGGCGACCCGGGGTCTTCTTGGACCGTCCTCGGCGCCTCTTGGGGCCCTCTTGGCCTGTCTGGGGGCCTTCTTCGGACCGAAGACGACGCGCGACAGGACGACCTGGGCACGCGCCAAGCCCCGGGAGCTGTGAGCATTCAGGGCCCAGGCCCCCACAGACTCCTCCACAGGAGTGAGGACTGAGGCTGTAAAGACTGAGGCCAAGGACTTGAGGACACGCCCACCTCCGTGCCCAGCGGCACGGTGGGGGGGGGGGAGGAGGAGGAGGAGGAGGAGGAGGAGGAGGAGGAGGAGGAGGAGGAGGAGGAGGAGGAGGAGAAGGAGGAGAAGGAGGAGAAGGAGAAGATAGAACGGTGAAGGGCATTCCTTTTCAAAACGGGTGCTCTCTCGCCTGAACGGCAGGCCCTTATTTGAGTGCCCGTTTTGTCGGGAGACGCCCCTCCCTCTCTCTGTGGAAACGAAGGCCTCTAAGAGACTCCTGGAGAGAGGACTTTTGGGACGGGAGGGCGCCGTGGACTCATGCTGAGCATATTGTGCTTATTGCCCCCTCCCCTTTCCCTTTCCCGGCCCCTCTCTCTGTCGCTTCCTCGCTCTCTACATAGTTTCTCCCGTTCTCTCTCTCTCTCTCTCTCTCTCTCTTTCTTTCTTTCTTTCTTTCTCTCTCTCTCTCTCTCTTGTTGTTGTTTTGTTTTGTCCTCTCTCTCTCTCTCTCTCTTTCGCTCTCTGCATCTTATGTTTCGCCTCCAGCACTTGGCCCGCTCCGCCTGCTGCAACGGAGGAGGGTGCGGGGAGGAGGTTGAGGGGGAAGAGGAGGAGGAGGAGGAGGAGGAGGAGCAGGGAGAGGAGGAATAAGAGGAACGAGGAAGACGAACAGGAGCAAGAAGAGCAGCATGGGGCAGAAAGAGGAAAATGATGCTGGAGGAAGTGGTATCAGGGAGGACGAGAGGGAGGCTGGTTGCTGTCCGATCGGCTTCGCGCTGGGCGTGCTCGGTTTCTCCAGCCATCCTGTGGAGTTGGGTCCTCGTTTTGAAGAGACAGTCCCCGCGTCTCCTCTCCCCCTCCCTCCTCCCATCCTTGCCCCTGCCCTCCGCATGTCAACCTGTTCGGCACACCCCTCACACGCTTCGTGTGTCTATAGGGAGCTCCACCGACGGCCCCAGTGGCAAAGTGCACATGCGGTTCCCCGCCTATGTCTGCACACCCCTCACACGTTTCGTGGCCCCACAGGGAGCTCCACCGAAGGCTCCAGTGGGAAAAATACACATTGGATTCCCCCCCAATTTTGGCACACCACTAGCACGCTTCGTGGCCCAACAGGGAGCTCCACCAAAGGCCCCAGTGGCAAAGTCCACATGCGTTTCCCCACGCATGTCGGCACACCCCTCGCACGTTTCGTGGCCCCACAGGGAGCTCCACCGAAGGCCCCAGTGGCAAAGCCCACATGCGCTTCCCCGCCCACTTGAGCACAACCCTTGCATGCTTCGTGGCCCCATAGGGAGCTGCCCAGTGGCAACGTCCACATGTGGTTCCCCGCCCATCTCGGCACACCCCTCACACGTGCCCAAGTGGCAAAGCCCACATGTGGTTCCCCGCCCATGTCGGCACACCTTTCACACGCTTCGTGGCCTTATAAAAAGCTCCACCGAAGGCCACAATGGCAAAATCCACATGTGTTTCCCCTCCTATTTCGACACGCCCCTCACGCGCTTCGTGTCAAATGAAAGTCATTATGCGTGTCCCCCATTTTGGTACACCCTTCAGACGCTTCGTTGCCGACAGGGAGCTCCACCGAAGGCCACATGCGTTTCCCCGCCCACTGGGACACACACACACACACACACACACACACACACACACACACACACCTCTCACGTTTCGTTGCCCCACAGGGGGCCCACCGAAGGCCCCAGTGGCAAGGTCCGGATGCGGCTCTCAGCCAATTTGGGCACACCATTCACACGTTTCGCGGCCCCAAAAGGGGGCTTTACCGAAGGCCCCAGTGGCAAAGTCTGCATGCGGTTCCCCGCCCATGTCGGCACACCCCTCACACGTTTCGTGGCCCCACGGGGAGTCCCACCGAAGGTCCCAGTAGCGAAGTTCGCGTGCGATTCCCCGCCCATTTCGGCATACATTGGCTTCGTGGCCCCACAGGGAGCTCCACCAAGGGCCCCAGTGCCAAAGTTCGCATTCGGTTCCCCGCCTCATCTGGCACAGCCCTCACACGTTTCGCAGCCCAATGGAGGGCTCCACTGAAGGCCCCAGTGGCTGAGTCCGCATGCGGTTCACCCGCCCATTGCGGCACACCCCTCACACGTTTCGTGGCCCCATAGGGAGCTAGACCGAATGCCACAGTTGCAAAGTCCACATGCGATTGCCCGCCCATTCCGGCACATCCCTCACACTTGCCGCGGCCCCATAGGGAGCTCCACCGAAGGCCCCGGTGGCAAAGTTCAAATGCGGTTCCAGCGCCAATTTCGGAACACCCCTCACAGTTTCGTGGCCCCATAAGGAGCTCCACAGAAGGCCCCAGCGGCACGGTCCACATGCGGCTTCCCCGCCCATTTGGGCACACCCCGTACACGTTTCGTGGCCCCATAGGGTGCTCCACCGAAGGCCCCGGCTCTGTTGTCCCATAGGGAGCTCCACCGCAGGCCCCAGTGGCAACGTCCGCATGTGGGGTTCCGCCCATTTCGGCATACCCCTCACGCGTTTCGTGGCCCCGCATGGGACTTCACCAAACGCTCTAGTGGCACGGTCCACTTGCGAATCCCGACCCACTTGAGCACACCCCTCACACGTTTCGTGGCCCCACAGGGAGCTCCACCGAAGGCCCCAGTGGCAAAGTTCACATGCGCTTCCCCGCCCATTTGGGCACACCCTTCACACGATGGTTCCCCCACATTTTGGCACACCACTCACGCGTTTCGTGGCCCCATAGGGAGCTCCACCGACGGCCCCAGCGGTACGGTCCACATGCGGTTCCCCGTACATGTGGGCACACGCCTCACATGTTTCGTGGCACCATAGGCAGTTCCACCGCAAGCGGTGCCCACAGCGCGGTATTCACAAGTGCATATGGTCGGGTCCTTCGCCAGGATATTATCTTTAAGGAGGAGAGGAGAGGGAGAGGGGGGGGGCTGGGCAGGGGGGGCGGAGCCCTATCGCCCCACGGGGTTAAGGCCCCCGTTGGGGCGGGATGTCCTCGAAGGACCGCCACCACCAGCCGACTGCATTCAATCACGAGGTCGGCTCCATTTTAACGGACTCGCATGCACATCGTTTTTCTTGACCATCTTGAAGTAGGGCAGATCCTTCTTGCCCTGGTATTTGATCAGTAGCGAAAGCATCATCCCAAGTGTGGCGAAGTCGTGCTGCTGCGCAATGACAATGGCCCGCTGCTTGAACTCGGCGGCAACCAGAATGACACTGCTACCATTCGACTCGGCACTACTCGTCTCGTCCTGACGGGGCGGTGGGCGAGGCGAGGACGCCACGTCGAGGCCAACGACACGGTGCGGCACCGCGATCTCCACGAAGATCGGTCCACGCAAAGCCTTTGGCATCTGAAAAGAAGGAGCCTCAGGAATGAGCAGCGAGGTTGCCGAAACACGCGTCGGCGAACTGGCAGACGATATCACCTCTTGCAGGATGGCGGGCAGCCGAGGGGAATAAGCCGGCGGCGGCACGGGTGGCTGAACAGCGCGACGGCCAACACAGCCCGGCGGCTGTTCACCACCCATAGGGTGAGGGCGGTCAAAAGCACTGTTGTGCACGACGTCAGGACGCTGAACAGGCCCAGAGCGTACAAGGCCGCAGGCTTGGCGCCAAGTCGCGTACGTCGGCAAGAGGGGCACGTGACCGACGAGAGCGGCGTAGCCGAGCCTCCACGCCGCGGCGAGGAGGCTCGGGCGCCGCGCGGAGGTTGGCGCGCATTGGCCCTGGCCGGAATTCGAGGAAGGGGCGGCCTTCGTGGAGTGGGGGCGGGTCTGGGCCTGACGGGAGGGAGGAGGGAGGAGAGAGGATGGCGGGAGGGAGGAGGTGGGAGGAAGAGGGTGTGGGAGGAAGGGGTCGGAGGAAAGAGCACAAGGAGGACCTTGAGGAGGACCATGAGAAGGATGATCAGAAGCAGGGAGGAAGCAGCAGGAGGAGGACCATGATGAGGACGATCAGAAGCAGGAGGAGGGGAGAAGGAGGATGAGGAGGAGGGGGGGGAAAACAGGTGGGGAGCAGGGGCAGCATGGGGAGCAGGAAGAAAAGGAGAAAAGGGATGAGCAGGAGGAGGAGCAGCAGCAGGAGCTGGAGAGGGGAAGGAAGGTTGGGAGTGGGAGAAGGAGGAGGAGGAGGAGGAGGAGGTGGAGGAGGACGCGGAGGAGGAGCAACAGGGGGGCAGGAGGAGAAGGAAAATGAGGAGGAGGAGGAGGAGGAGGAGTGAATGGGGGGAATGAGGGCAAGGGGGAGGAGAAGGGCTCTGAGCTGGAGGAGCAGCAGGAGGAGAGGCGACCTTCGCCGTGCCCACGACCTCGGGCGCCCAGAAGTGCGAGCAGATTGACAAGGCCTGGGCGCTGCGCGCCCGAGCGATGCACCTCGTTGCACCTCGTTGCTCCTTCGGGGGGGGGGGGGATTTCATGGCGCGGGCCATGATTTTTCCCCAGATTTCATGGCGCCTCTTCTTATTTCATTGCGTCCCTGGCCCCCCCGCTGGGCCGCGCACATGCCGCCGGTCATGATTTGCACCCCCCCCTCTTGGACACCCTCCTCTTTGCCGCTCCCGACTGGCCTGGCAAGGCTTTCGGGTCTGTGCGTAGCACGGGCGGCCGGCGGGGGCAGCTTCCGCTGACCTCCGCGGGCTCCCGGAGAAGGAGAGGTCTGGGGCGGCCTCGGCGCGTCTGATCCGCCTCTTGGCGATCGAGCAAGAAAACACACACTGCATAAACATACATGTTCGGAGGTCAGCGCGGATTTCTTCGATCTGCGCTGAAATCCCCGGGCGGCGCCCCCAGCGCCACCCCTGGCGCGCTCCTCGCGCCAGGCAGGGGGGGGGGGGGGCAGTGCCGATCCCAAGTATCCACCCAGACCTCCGAAAGTTCGTGCTGATGTTTATGCAGTTCGCTTGATTTCTAAGGGTGTTGAGACCGCCTAGCCTGCATTGCAGCCTGCATTGCCTCCGGGGCTGTCTGAGCGCAGGCCCAAGCCGTGCGACCCTCCCTCATTGCTGTTGTTGACTGGCTTGAAGCGCATTTTCCCCAACCCTCCTTTGGTTGCGCCCTCGTCTTGCATTAAGCAGTATGTATCCATCCCATTGCCAGCTACTCCTACTCCTCCTCCCCCTCCCTCCCATTTGCTGCCCTCTCCTTCCACTTCTTCCCCTGCGTCTGGTTTCTCGTGTTGGACTTCCCCTGCGCACTCCAAACCAACTGTCGCCTCTTCCTGGCCCCATGGGATGCTTCAGCGGACCTGCGCGATACAGGCATCCAAATGAGACGTCGACGCCCTAGTTGCTGATCGAAGACGCCTGTGGCACAGCCGCCTCCTGCCTATTGGAAGCGCCTTGGGTCGTGGAGCGTGAACAAAAGCGCGACCTCGCTAGTGGACTGCGTGTTCCCAACTATCAGAGGGACCGTGCGAGGAACACTACAGCCGCTTGCCAGTTCAAGGCCGACGCGGAGTCGTAAATTTTAATGGAGGGGTATGATCAATGACGACATCGACGCCACACTGATTGAACGCAGTATGGTTATAACGAAGTAAATGGAGTTCGAAGGCTGAACTCTCTCCTGTCTGAATCAAACAGGGGAATGTGTTTGCTTTCGATGTTTCGGGATTTCGAAAGTACCAGAGAGCTGGATTCTGTATTCATTTGCTCGAGCCAGCGTTTTTCAGTACGAACACGCTTTTGTTCCCGAGCAAAGCTCAGTGGCGTTTGGATGTGGGCGCGGCAATTCAAACGGCAGTGCCGCGTGTCCTTGTCATCGTAAAGCACTTGAGGATCTTCTCGAATCCCCCCAGCAACGCAGCGCAATTGTCGCGGACTCTGATTGCCGCGAATACGCCCGACGCAGCAAGGAAGATTCTCTGACCTGGTAGCTCACGGCAGTGGAACGGCAAGGGTGGTGGCAAATGTCCACCATGATGATGCGAGAGCCTTGATCTGCGCTCCGGGAGCTTCGCGACGGCGCGGTGCGGGGCTCGGGACTTCGCGGGACCTCTGCGCCACGGCGCGAGATCTTGAATGGCAGGATGTTTTACGTCGGGATGTTGTGGCACCCCGATGCAACGATGTACCTTTTGAGCTGGGGGCCACCTGGCGGTCTCAGGCCCGAGCGCGTCGGCCCTTTTGTTAGGGTTCCGTGGGGGCGTGGGGGGAGGGTTGACTGCGCCAGAGATCTCCCAGAAATTGTTTGTTTTCGCGCGCGTGGGCGCAGTGCCCTGCTCGCGCCCCGCAGCCCACGGCGAATTTTGAAGAAGAGTCGGAGATCGGCTTCAGTGAAGGGCCCTCAAAGACGATGTTGGGGTTGTCTTGGGGTTCGTTGCAGGCCTTGCGGGCCTTCTTGGGAGACTCCTGAAGCCTTGTTGGGCCATTGTGGGGCTCCCTGGGGCCGTTTCAGGGCGCTTCTGCGTTTCTGGCGCCATCGGAGTTCGTCCTGGGGGCCTGTCTGAGACAAGTTAAGGCTGTCTTGGAGCTCTCTTGGGCCGTCGCGGGTCCCTCTTGGGCCGTCTTGGGTCGCCTCGGGCGCCGAAAATGCCCAAACGGTAAAAAAAACCGAAGAACGTTCAAAAACGCAGATTTTCCATTGCCTAAAACGGTCCAAGAGACACACAATGGAGCCTTTTGGACCTTCTTTGGGCCATCCTGTGGCCATTCTGGTCGTCTGGGAAGCGTTTTCGAGGTCATCATGGACCGTCTTGGGTTGTCTTGGAAGCCATGTTGGCCGTCTTGGCGGCGGACGTTCAGGACGGTGCGTGCCTTGCGCGGCGGGGGTGGGCGGCGAGACTGCCCGAAGGCAAGTGGGAATGAGTTGCGAAGGCCATGCAATATTCGAGAACGTGGCACACCAAGCGTCCTTGTGGCAAGCATAGGAGGCTGCCGATCGAAGACGACCCTGGCGAGTCACCGCCGCCCGTCCTGCCTTCTGGAGACGTTCGTGTGGGGAGAAGTCGGTCGACGTCTTGAAATTCTAACGCATCGCGTGTTACCCAAGTCGTTGGGGAAAGGACTGTGGAAACATTGGGGCAGGGCCCTCTGAGGCCGTCTTGGGGCTGGCTTGGGATTATTGTGGAGTCTTTAGGTTTTTTTTCGGGGGCCTACTGTGGCCTTGTGGGCCTCACTGTGGCTCTCTTAGGCCGTCGTGGGGCGCCCTTGGTCCGCCTGGCGCCTTCGCAAACCGTCTTGGGGGCCCTCTCTGGACCGTCTTGGGGTGTCTCGTGCGACCTAGCAGAGCCGCCTGGGGCCTGTGTTGGGGACCTCAGATCGCGAGAGTCACGGTGGATAACATTCGCTCGGCTAAGGAGCACGGGCAGGTAGTCATCATAACGAACGCGGAGCGTGGTTGGGTCGCTCTCGGGGACCTTTGGGCCGTCTTTGGACCCTCCTGGGAAGTTCTGGGCAATCTTTCGACAGAAAAAAAAACAGTCATAACATGAATCTTGTACCTCTCGCGGCGCTTCTGGGGGACCTCTTGGAGCCTTCTTGGTGCGTTTTGGGGCCCTCTGGGGCCGTACTGGGACGCATTAAGGCCATCAGCCTTTCTCGTCGAGGCATCCTGAGCCTACTCGGGGACCACATTGGCCATCTCTGGCTGATTTTAGTTTGACCACGGTCGTCTTGGAAATGCTTTTGGAGTCATCTTGGGGAGGAAAACAATTGAAAGGCCTCCCTTGCGGGCGTTTGTGGTTCGCCGGCGGGTCGCGCCGAGAGCCAGCACGAACAGTTCGAAAGCCCCCAAACAACATCCCAAACATTGGTACGCCGTCAAGCAACTTTGAAGGGGGCCTCTGCCGTGCGCATCTTAGCCGCATGAGCGAGCGGAGGTGAAGCAGGAACGAACGCATCCGCGGCTGTTTTGGTTCAGCGGGGTCGACGCCAGCATATGATGAGCCAGCTATAAGACATCACATTGGCTACTACGACGTAGAAGAGAATGTCTCACCTGCTTCTACATCAGCCCCATGGCAGCCCATCATCATCGATGGTTTTTTCCCCAACCATCCTGTGGTGTTGGGTCCTCGTTTTGAAGAGACAGCGCCCCGCGTTCACTCCTCCTCCCGCTGCCCCCTCCCTCCTGCCACCACCATCATCATCATCATCATCATCATCATCGTCATCATCATCGTCATCATCATCAGGATCATCATCATCATTATCATCATCATTCCTCTCCTCTCCTCTCCTCTCCTCTTCTCTCCTCTCCTCTCCTCTCCTCCTCTCCTCTCCTCCTCTCCTCTTCACCCACCCAGTACACCGTTTCGTGGCCCCATAGGGAGCTCCACCGAAGGCCCCAGTGCCCGCGCCCGCATGCGTCACCCACACCCAATTCGGCACACCCCTCACACGCTTCGTAGCTCCATAGGGAGCTCCACCGAAGGCCCCAGTGCCCGCGCCCGCATGCGTCACCCACACCCATTTCGGCACACCCTCACACGTTTCGTTCGCTGGCTCCATAGGGAGCTCCACCGAAGGCCCCACGCTTCGTGGCTCCATAGGGAGCTCCACCGAAGGCCCCAGTGCCCGCGCCCGCATGCGTCACCCACACCCATTTCGGCACACCCCTCACACGTTTCGTGGCTCCATAGGGAGCTCCACCGAAGGCCCCAGTGCCCGCGCCCGCATGCGTCACCCACACCCATTTCGGCACACCCCTCACACGTTTCGTGGCTCCATAGGGAGCTTTTGGCACACCCGCGGCACACCCCTCACACGCTTCGTGGCTCCATAGGGAGCTCCACCGAAGGCCCCAGTGCCCGCGCCCGCATGCGTCACCCACACCCATTTCGGCACACCCCTCACACGTTTCGTGGCTCCATAGGGAGCTCCACCGAAGGCCCCAGTGCCCGCGCCCGCATGCGTCACCCACACCCATTTCGGCACACCCCTCACACGTTTCGTGGCTCCATAGGGAGCTCCACCGAAGGCCCCAGTGCCCGCGCCCGCATGCGTCACCCACACCCATTTCGGCACACCCCTCACACGTTTCGTGGCTGCATAGGGAGCTCCACCGAAGGCCCCAGTGCCCGCGCCCGCGTGCGTCACCCACACCCATTTCGGCACACCCCTCGCACGTTTCGTGGCTCCATAGGGAACTCCACCGGGGCCCCGGTGCCCGCGCCCGCATGCGTCAGCCACACCCATGTCGGCACACCCCTCACACGTTTCGTGGCCCCATAGGGAGCCCCGCCGAAAGCCCCAGTGCCCGCGCCCGCATGCGTCAGCCACACCCATGTCGGCACACCCCTCACACGCTTCGTGGCTGCATAGGGAGCTCCACCGAAGGCCCCAGTGCCCGCGCCCGCATGCGTCAGCCACACCCATTTCGGCACACCCCTCACACGTTTCGTG